TTCTTCGATATCCACGTCGAGTACCTACACAAGAGGCTGAGCCAATGGACGTTGACACCACAGATCATGTGAGTGTTGCATCCTCGGACCGACGACCCAAGGCCAAAGCCCGACCGCGACGCGGAGGCGAAGCCGTACGGGGTGATGTGGTCTTGATCCGTTATGAGAACAAACACAATCTCTGCACGGATGTGGAGAATCGTCGGGGCCTAAATGATGCTTGTGGCGTACCACTGCAGGAATCGGGACCAGAGAATAGCCAGCGAGTGGTGGACATCATTGAGCAGCTTTCGGACCATCGCGACCGACGCCTACCTCAACGAGGAGACCGTCCTAGCTTTGCTTACGATGAAAACACTCATAGCTACACCAATCCAGGCTATGAATCCATCGGCGGCGGAAGGCCAATCCGGTGCGGGATTCTCGACCTGATCCCAACCAAGGGTGCAAGCTTCATCAACAATCGGTGGGACATCGTGAACGAAGTTGTCCTTCGCAACATCACCCGTCAGCGCAGGTTGAATGCGGATTGGGCGCTATCATGCATCCAGTCTGACTTGCGCCACAGAATCGCCAGGCGCCCAGGCTCGGAATGGCTTGACAACAGGTGCCAGGTGGCATTCAACAGTGTCATCAAATGTGATGAAGGAGGATGGGTGATGATCGAAGACTTGGTGAGGCATGAGCCACTATGGACCCATGAAAGCAGACGCATCACCGAAGGGGTCTCAAGGACCGATGATCAACAGAAGAAGAGAGTGTACAATGAAAGACTTCAGCTATTGTTCCAGGGGAACATGATTGCAGCCACGAAACGCAACAAGGCCAAGATTCGGTTGCAGTTCCTGGGTGTGAGAGTGAAGGACCCCGGCACGGAAGTTCTTGGATCAGCAGGTTCGAACATGTTGGTATCAGTTCGGGACCAGATCACGGAGATCCAGAACAACGACCATTGCCGGCATGGCCAGAGGTACCTGAACCTATGCAACGGCTGGGTGAAGCCATGGGCAGTTCGGGCTACGAGTGGTCACTCTGCGCATTCAGATCCCCAGAACAACTTGCTTCAGTTGGACAAGAACAGGTTCGCAATATCTCCATCTATGACCCTCTTGCAACGTCTTGGAGGTGCGTTCCACGCTACGGCATGCCGCAACTTGGATTCCATTGTCACGCAAGGCATCATGCCTGGTTCGGAGGACCCCGACGGGGACTTCGACCATAGGCGCCAATTCCGAGGCAACCAAGGCGGCAGACTCCACAGCTATTGGGGGGTGTTTGCGCCGTTCGATCACCGGAATGCAACGACCAAGATGCGAGTACACGGACGAGACGCCAAGCACATGCCATTGGCGGTCTTCATGTCCCATCGCAAGATCTTGCACGAGAAGATGGACGTATCACAGACAGCGGCATCATGATCGTTGGTCGAACGATACCTTTCCATTTCGTCAAGGAGGTATGGTTTTGCGTCCCTGATCCTCGAGATACACACTCTTTCGCTCTGGTGGAAAAGATCTACGATGAAAGGTTGGAGAAAGAGCTGGTGTTGGACTACAATGCATCACCGTTGCTTCCCGAGTTCGAGAGATACCGAACGCCAAGCAAGATCATGGAATTGCTTTGCGAGATGCCTCCTGGACCCCACGACACAAGCAAGGAGCAGATCATTCGTGACCTCACGACTGTCCTGGAGTCCCACAGGGAGAACACGGTTCGGCATCACTACATGGACAAAGGAATCAAGTTTGTCATCAAGAATTGGCGACCCGAAGACCTACGCAGAGACGAGGATGGACGGAGAATGAGGGTATGCCCGGCATGCTACAACATCGTTCCAGCATGTTTCTCCCGATGCACGTCTTGCTGGTCACAGTTCATTTCGAGCGGATATTACCAAGGTTCTCCACAACGGGAGACTCCTACGGAGATCCCCAGTGACTTCATTGCTCAGACAATGGAAGCCGCAGCAGCCGCAGTGCCTGAGGCGCCCGAAGAGGAGCAGGAAGCCATGGAGGTAGAGACCGTTGCGGAACCTGAAGAAATCCCAGAACCATCTGTCATCGCGGAAGACGATCCAGAACAGGAACCTGATGAAGAAATGGACGTCGAGCCTGAAGAGGACTTTGATGACGCAGTTCCAGAAGCAATCGCACAGGAACGTCGTCCCGTCTTCATTACCGGCCAGTCTTTGAACATCGATCCTGAGCTACAACTTGCACGTACCGCCATGCAGCCATCTTACTATTCTGGAAAGCGAAATGCCCATTGCATTGACGCGAACATGACCGCTCTTTCGTACATGGCATACGTGGTATGCAGATCCATCTACAAAGCTTGGTCAGGATTCGCAAAGTGGGCGACTATGCCGTTGTTTCAGATGAGGGAAAGTTTCGCACTTGGCCAACGCTATGATGTGCTTGGAAAGTGGGGATCTTTGGCGGCAGTGGATAGGGAAACGGGTGTGAGCAGGGACGTGACTGATGAGGAGATCATTCGCTTTGCAAAGGAACCTGAGAACCTCAAACAGTATGATCCCAACGGGACTTACACCTTGAAGCGCTTCCGGACGAACCAGATGCTCTCTTTACTTGTGCGGGGAGCCAACATGATGGGAATTGGCAGGGACAACTTCAACCCTACTACTTACTTGAAGAGCGACAGGGATGAAGATGTAAAAGCTATGCACTTTTGTTGCCTGAACGTCCTGTGCGAGGTGATTCCAATGGTGACGGGACACCAACAATTCTCAGTGCTACGACCAACGCCAACTGGACTAGTGGACTTCTTGTACATCGATCCCGTCGGTATTCTGCTGACTCATTCTGATCAGTCAGTCCAGACCATCGGCTTGCTGGTGGACCACAGTGTGCAAATGCCTGCGCATTTCATGGACAGATTGAACAGATCCAAGGCTGAGAGACAGCAAAACCCGACGACAAAGCGTACGGAAGCCCTACACCACATTTCGGCCGCTGACTATCTTCCTCCAGGTGGTACATCCATCCTGGACACGCCTGTCACTACGGAGGAACGTGAAAGCGCTTCTTCATCCAAGGGACCTTCAAAAGGGCGTGGAAGAACCGGAGGCGAGCAACATGGTGGCTGGAACACCAATTCCTACCACGACTACATCGCCGCCAAAGGCCGAAACAAAGGCAAGGACAAGGGAAAGCCAAGGAACCAGTATCCAGAGGAGAACCTCCGGCCCTGGGACCGCGATCCTACGTCAACGCGAAGATGGTGGCGAGACAACGCCTGATCTTCCTCGCCTATCAGTTCGTGACCTCTGAGCTTCGCTCGTGGAATGCCATCGCGAATGCTTCTTTCTTCGGTGACGCCTGATTCGTTTGTCATTTCAGGGGATCGTTACTGACGTAGATGAGTGTCACAACGTTTCTAATTGGGATGCAAAGCTCTGATTTTCAAAGTCAACGTTGCGGCGGAATTTTCTTCTGTCCTATCGTGCCATCTTCCGGGTGAGCAGCGTCGGAGACGCAACTCATGGGGGGTGCGAACGGACTGCGATGCCTTGTCATGTTCTAAGGTGTCACTATAAGAGCTGTGAGCAAGACCGTGTAAAGTGCAAGAGAAGGGGGCACGCTACGCGTCCCTCGACTCTAGGGGGCATGCTACGCATCCCTCATCTTTACCTTTCTATGTGACCGCCAACGCAACGTTTGGCTCAAGTCAATGCCCATAGCTAAGTGCTATATGTGTCTTCTATCCTGAGCAATCAGAGCTATCCCGTTGCACAGACGAACCGCCGCCGGCAGTGAGTGCAAAAGGAACGGCCGCCGGTTCTGCCTGCATAGGATCGCACGTGTGGAAGTAAGAGGGAGAGACAGGGTCCAGTCTGTGGAGAGTGCTAGCCAGCCACACCTACATTCATTACAGCTCTGGTGGGGAGAGCAGCAACCAAGTCGAGATCAATCCCCCACGCAGTACTAGTACTAGTACTAGTACCAGTACCAGTACCAGTACCAGTACCAGTACCAGCAGTAGTAGTAGTAGTAGTAGTAGTTGTAGTAGTAGTAGTGGTGGTAGTAATTTCCAAAGCGTTTCACCCCAACGCCTGTGCCTCGCTAGAGCCTAAACCCGACAGTAAAGTCAGACATGGAGTGGAAAGGAGGCGCCGAAGCCAGCACCGAAAGCAAAAGCTGCGGCCGCAGGTGGGTTCAGCGCTCGCGCAGGGTTTAGGATTCCTGAATAGGGTTTCGGGGTATATATTACCATAATCATAATAAGGAACCCCAAAACCCTATTCTAATTAATAAGGTCGCTGGCGATCTTGATTCCCTTGATGCTGAGCCGTGTTGTTGTTTCGGTGTTTGAGTGTACGGAAACTTGGTTCGGTTTGATGTGGCAACATTGTGTAACATTGGGCTTAGACATTTGTAGGCTTAGGGAAGTTTGGGGCTTCAGCGTGTTGGAAAGCCATGGAGTCAGGTTTGTGTGCATACTTCGTGGCGAGTCGCGGCTTTCTTAAACTGCGAGACCAAGTGAACCCCAATGTTTTCTTGTCGCCGTGGTATGGGTTGTGCCCTGGGTGCTGCCCCCATACAGTAACAGTCTATAACAGGGCTACTAGTAAGGGCCTTATATATCCATATTATGAATATTACTCAACTGTCACTGAGTGGGGGCAGTATCCAAGTTGTATACGAAGAGCCTTTGTGTTGCTCATTTGGGAGTTTCCGAAAATTAGGGGTACTTTATTTCGGGGTCCTTATAAGAAGGGTCCCACTACTTAGGGTGCTATATTAGTGAGGGTCCCCCATTTTCGGAAGCTCCCATTTGGACTTCGTTTGCTGGTCTTGGAGCCTCTCGGCTCCTGTGGGGGATTCCCGGCTTGCGGAACGCTTCGATCAGGGAAGGGTCAGGAAAGAGATGGCTCCAACCTACGGGTTTTTGGGGATGATCCAGTTGTGAAGCGTTTTAGCCCAGTCTTGTTGGAGATTTAGCACATCGGAAGTGCAGAAGGAATCGTCCACAGTGCTGAAATGTCAATGTCCGCAGCTGTTGATGCAGGTGGTGGTGCTCCCAGCAGTGATGCCGAAGGCGAGTCCAAGACCGTCACTGCGAAGGCCCACCAGTCTTAGGGATCGCTTCATGTGGAAACATTCTAGCACTTGTAGCTCGTAGGTTTCTTGCCGCGCACAATGCAGTACTTTGGGGGCTCGTTCGTTGTGTGTGGGTAGGCGCTTAGTTGCTTTGAGGGCCTCTGGTTTGTTTGCTGCGATGAGTGTCTGAGAAATTTGCGCTCAGGTTTTTCACGGAGTTCTGCAAAGTTTTGGTGTGAATGCATTGCAAAAGTATTGAGTTTGGTGTGTGGAATGAAATCTCGCATACAGCACGAAGTGAACCCCGATATTCACCCTGAGCCAAGTGGATCCTGCCTATGTGTCTTTTGCGACTTCAGATTCTGCTCTAGGAAGAAGCCTCAATAACAACGAACACCCTAAACAACACCTACCCTCATGCTGTGTTCGTACCGGAAACTCCCAGAAAATGACGCCGGAGCTCGAAGCAAGCTTCGCCGAGTGCCCCTTCCCCTTCAAGGACGGGTTGTTTTGGGTCTTGGCTGTCCTGTATTTCAACATGAGCAGGCCCTTTTTCGCTAGTAATTCTGTAGTGCACTAGGCTTGACTGCCCTGCAGTACAAAAAGGCTGTTCTGTGCTGACATCATACCATGCCATAATTATACCATAATTTGTTGTACTGTACTTGGGCCATACTATGCTATACGACAGGACACGATACTACACTACACTTCAGCATAGTATAGGACACATTGTAATATAGTGTAGCTAAGACAATCGAATCTGTTCTAGTCTAATCTAAGCCATTAGTGTAATCCAACATGGTATGATACGGTATTTGGTAAAACATAGCAACATAGCATATGTTAAACTCACGCAAGATGATCTATGACAGGGTAAGAAAACATGACACAATGTAGTACGCAGAATTTCATGTCAGACAGCCTCAAATACAAATCAAGGAATAGAATCGTGGCATATTATATCATGCCAATGTTCTGTAATTAAACTTTACACATTTCTGGCCGCACGCTATTCGACATGCTCAAATACAATATGCTTTGCGCGACCAGAATGATCAGAAAGTTTGCGAAGCTTACAATATGAAATGCGATGCTCTGCAACATGATGCTGAACTAGGTGGTGTGACATGGTGTGACCATTTTACTTCTCGGAAACATAGAGCAACATAGATGTTACATCGAAACATGTCACATCATATCGTATCATAACCTAGAGTGTTTCCGAGGGTTTGCACTTCTCAGCGCTCGGAAATCGGTAGGCTCGTTTTTTGGCTACGTTTCTCAGGGATCCTTCGGGGTCTTTCCGGTGTTTATGAGGTCCAAGATCCTTGTCTGTGCGCAGGCTTTCAACGGGTCTGGCATTGGCAGTTGCAGAAGCTTTTTTGTTTAGGGAGCCTTCCTTAGACACGGCGAGGCCACGGAATCTCTGGAAGGACCGTTTCAATGGGCTCCTGAAGCGCAGAGAAGATGCGGCTACCATTAATGAATCCGGATGTCTGCTCACCACATACGCCACAAGGCCATGAGCCTACTGAAAGTAAACCCTGAACGAAATCTGGCCCCAACCCTACACCCTGCCTTGTGCGAGTGTGTGAGTCGAAACCCCCTGAACCCTAAACCCTCTAAGTGTGAGCGCCCAAACCCTATAAGCCCTAAGCCCAAAGACTCTCATCCGCTGGTCAAAGGAGAAGGCGGAAGCAGCGCTGAAGGAGGGTGGTGAGGTCACGGTGGCTTGGCATCACCATGGAACCCTCCACGTCCTGATAGGTAGCAGGACCTAAAACCTTCCACTTCCTAATACTCTAATAGAGGTGCCGGAATAACTAGGACAGTTGTTTTTTCGGGGGCGGGGGGGATAAAGTAGGAAAAACAAAATTTAGAGTAACCACAACCACCGAAGCATTTAGGGACAAAATCACGGGACAAATGCTCGACTTCTGGAACAAGCACATGCTCAAGAGTATAAAGAGTTTAAGTTCGATCGTGTGGAGTCTCCCGGCGACTTCAGGAGAAGATATCAACAACGCTTTTAAGGTCCCCCAACAGGACACGCAGCGCAGAGTAGACCTCTAATGTAAGGTGTTGTTCTGCAGGTCCGGGATACAATAGACATTTTCTGCACTGATACACGACAACTGAGGCCTGGAGCAAGAATAGCTTTGCTGCAGCTGCTGCTGTTCCTAGAAATTCATGTGCCGCTGTCACCACCGCAACAACAGCAGCAGCGATATCGACAATAATGCCAGCCCTACCACCACAGCAATCAATGCAGAGTCCGTGTACTACGAATCGTGTGCATCAATGGCGGTTCTAGGAGAACCACACGGCACAAGTTTTCGAGCGGTCTGCAGAGTCAGGTAACCAAGAGACTAAGTTACTAGATCTCTGTCCTGACTGTTGTTCAGCACTGGCAGGGCCTCGTAGTACCGACATCGTCACATCGCATTGTCCGAGCATGGTCTCTTGCGAATGCTTCCCAGCAGCTGAGGTGAAGCGAGGGACGATAGGTCCTTTCAAAAAGACCATCGAGGTGATCATCAAGCAGGGACCCTGCACCTCCCGCATGAGGGGGGCTTGGGGCGGAGGCTGATTCTAAGACCCATCCTGGCTGGCGAAGGCCGGGATGGGACAGTCCTTTAACTCCTGGGTGGGGGCTGCCGAGTCTCCGAGCTTTGCACTGAATCCTGAAGCTGAAATTTCCAAACTTTAGGGGTTTGGGGGAGTAGGGGTTTGAGGTTTAGGGGCTTAGGGTTTAGGATTTAGGGGTGTTTGGAAGCATAGGAAGCAGCAACAAAGCAGGTATGCTTGGAGGTACGAGTATCTGTAGCTACACAAGCAAGAAATAGCAAGGAGATGGAGAGAGTGGGTGAACATCGGGATTGAAGTAAACGCAGATGATGTAGGGTAGATGGAAAGACCAAAAATGTCGTGTGTGTGTGATATATGTGTATATTTATACAGATATATGTATGTATATATCCCATGAAGTGTTACCATATATATATATATATATACACATATACATATGTGTATATATATATATACACATGTACACAGATCTGGACACAGATACGATATAGAGGTACATACATACATACGTGCATACATACATAGAACAATCATGCGACATAGCAGCCCATTTCCATGCTGCAGCTGCAAATCTTGGAGCTTGGGAGCCCCATGGCCTGACCGCCTGTGCGAATGAAGTGCTGACGGACAGACGTCCAACGTGCCGACGGCACAGGCTCGAGAGGCATGTACACCAGAGCTGCTGTTTCGCAGTAGGGCGTTGGGAATGAGCCGCCGAGCATATGGATCGTATGCCGCTGGAGGCTTCTTGGGTGCATAGGGGTCTGGTTATTCGCCATTTACAGAGTAAGTCGAGGCCGCAGACTTGTCTCGACGGTGCAGCGCCGCTCGGTGGTACATGGAGGTAGTCTGTAGTTACAAAGTAGTTCTTTGCCGGCCTGCTGGTTGGCCCTGCGGCTGTTAGTTGCTGGCCCGGATCGTGTCGTTCAGACTTGCTGCAGATGGATGCACCCGTCTTTGCAGTCACAGGCGCTTGCAGCACTCGCACTTAGCAGAAATCGTCGGCACCACCATCATCAAAATCATCACCAGCATGTTCATCATGCGCATGGCTCGCTGATAACTCGGATCATCTGGACCAGCCGTGTACAAGCTGAATTCGTTCGCCCCTCGTCACTGCCTACCTGATGCCATCCGGTTTGGCCGGCCCAAAGGCCAGAAATTCATAGGGCTTCCTAGGACGAAGTGTGGATAAAGAGACGCAACTTGCAGGGAAGAGGAGGCGTTTGAAAAAGAAGGGACCTTCAAGACGGAGGCTGTCCCTTCTGTATTCTGCCCGGCCGGTTGCGGTTGGGTGGTGCTGCAGAACACGATGCGGCATTGTCAACGAAAGCCGGGAAAGAAGCATCGAGGCAGCAACTTTTCAAATCTCCACGATGATGAGAAGTCCTGACGATAATGTCGGAATTATAGCCGCACTTGCCGCAGCGTTAGGAGCCTCAACATTTTGTGATGATGTTGTCTCCCAGCCACAACACCTTTTTCCGGAGAAGCTCGTTTATTTGCACAGATGCTTGCAGGTGGCTACTTCGCCCAAGCCGGCCACACAGAGCTTGCCACTCCTTGCGGGCATGGGCTAGATGTTGTTGCATTCCTGCAAATCTTGTCGCCGTCGTCGGTTAGGGCTCTCTTGTATGGTTCATTGCTGAGTTTGCGCGTAAACTCGGAGTTTCCAGCGACCTAGTCGGGGCCCACAGCCTGGTTCCTCGCTCGAAAGCACCTCTCGCAGCCCGGCTCCTTGAGGTTCTTTGGAGATGAAGGACAGACTCCAAGCGGAAGCGAGTCTGCCCGGAGTCTCCGGAGTAGATCCAGTCCAGGGCCGTTCATCGACGTCGTGTCAGCACAAGCTGTGAATCGAACTCTTCACCCCCGCAGCCGCCAGGATCGCAGCAGCTTCCCGACGGGCTGGCATGGATTCATAAGCGGAATTCCCGTGATGCCTTTGCAAATCCCTCTTTGACAGCACACGAAAAGCGATGGTAGCTTCAAGAACTGCCGTCAGCCCTTGCCCCATCCGGTGCAACAGACAATGTTTTGGTGTAGGACTCAGGCTTTATGATATCACATATAGTGTAGTCAGCATGATGCACGGTCTACGCTGGTATAACATAAATAGCTTGAACAGAATATAAGAATATAGTAGAATACAACAATTTCTCATCTCACGCCCCAAACATGGCAGGATTGGGATCGACTACTGCAAAGCTCCCAGCTATGCACATCTGCTTGCTTACGAGTGCTTTGAAGTGTGGCGTGCGATCGCGTTTGATGCGCCCCGCTATCCCAATACTGTCCAGATATGTTTCAGGCTCCACGTTATTGGTCTTGTTCGTGTTTCGGGTGCTGTGTGTTACATGGCTCGGAATCTTCGTGACACTCCAGTGGAAGGGGATCCTTGAATAAGGACCACACGTAGAAACTTTCGATTCCTGGAAGCCCTCTAGGTTCTCTGGCGATGAAGGCATCCCATCTTTGCCGTGCGGCACTCAGGCGCTTTTGCTTTTGACTTGGGATGACTGACCCTCAAAGCCATGGGGGAATGAGATAGGGGCTGAATAATTAGATGATTAGACCAGGGTTTGGCGGACACTGCACATAATAAGGAACCCTCAGGAACACTTTTGGTAATTGTCTAGGCTTCGATATGATGTGTGGTGTGCGTCTACCCACCTGTCTACAATCAGTCTATCTATCAGACCTAATTACCAACCAACCTTGTTTGCCTCTCCGCTTCTCGGTATACTGGTATACCTTTCTACCTTTCTATCTAGATCTTTTAATCTGCCTGCCTACCTAATCCATCTGAACACCTCCTGGTGTTCATGCATCCACACATACATGTGGACGCTTGGCCGGAACCCGTGAAAAATCAGAACGACGGCTTCGGTAGTCAATAGCATCCCAGAGCTATCAGACAGCACAGTCTTCTGCAGGGGGATTCTGTAAGCTGGGCTCAAGTTTTGGGGCCTTGTTCTGATTGGAGCCTTATTCTGAGAGTTAGGTAGTTTTTCCCGCTTCCAAGAACCCAACCACAGAATTCATCGTAGCTCAGGCAGACCCCCTCCGATCTCTCCCGGTCGGGTGATATTGCAGCAGGCCCAATCTTGCCAGCTTCTTAGGGTGAAAGATTTGAGGACCAGCTTTGTCAATATCAGCCGGTGCCATACACCCCCAAAAAGCTGGTACTACGAACCCTAAGTTCTGAAGCGCAAGCCCGAAACCCGAATCCTACCGACCATATGACACATGGTTTTAAGTGGGTTCACTTGGGTGTCTTTCCGGTGCGCTACTTAGACACGAGCTGTGAGGTTTCGAGACACAGCGTTGACATCTCCATCTCATACGGGCTTGTCTGTGCTATCATGTACACATGTCTGGTTGTGTGCATAAGTATACATACCTGAATATAACTTTATATTCATTAAAATATGCTTGTGCATGTACATATGTATGTCTACACACATGTGTCTGCGTGTGCATGCACATGTTCTTGGATGAAGTCTGAGGTTTGTCATGGTCGAGTTTCAAGGTCCTTAGCCCCGTCATCGTATGAAGAAGCTTGTAGTGAATTGTTGGCCGACTCCTGTGATGTTACCGTAGTACCGAAAAATCTACGTCGTTAATCAGTGTGAGTGGTTTGCTTTGTCGTTGGGTTGTGGGTTTAAGCAGGAGCTATTTGTGGTGATTCGGGCTCTGAAGCGGCCGCGACCTTGGTAAGCTATGTTGCACCCACCCACCAAGCAAGCAAGCGCATCCACATATACAAATTTGGATGCCAGTTGTTTGGATGATGCATAGTTGTAGGCTTCATCCTTGTCCTGTCGCGGGATTCGGCACTGTCTCGTTTAAGTATGATGGTCTGGCTATGCAGGATGATTGGCTTGTGCCGTGTATCATTAGTGGAGATGCTTGGATCCTTGCCCTGTGCGAGCGTTAGAGGCGAAATTGCCATCAGCAAAACTGCAAGCAACCTTCTCGAGAGCTGTCAGTCCGGGCCAATCCAAGCCGTTAAGCCCCAAATATGCCGATTAGCTGAAACCCTACGCAAGTAGACAAAAAGTCCCACTGGCCAGGAGTGCAGCCTGTCCCACCGGCATGACTTCGATTGTTCGATGGGGGCAACGGCGCGGGAATGGGGAGCCCGAAATCCGAGCTTCGGGTGTAATGGTAGTGGTAGTGGCGGCAGTAGTAGTAGTAGTAGTAGTAGTAGTAGTAGTAGTAGTAGTAGTAGTAGTAGTAGTGGTAGTAGTAGTAGTAGTAGTAGTGGTAGTAGTGGTAGTAGTGGTAGCAGCAGCAGCAGCAGCCGTAGCAGCAGGATAGTAGTAATAGCAGGAGTGCCAGGAGTGGTGTGTTTTCTATTTGAGCAAAATCCTCAAAAGCAATTCTGGGCTTGCTACGGCTTGGAGGCTGTGACATGTTCGAGACACGGCCCCTATCGCAAACTTGGACACATATGCTGCGCTGGTTTGGTTTCCACATGTGCTGTGCTTGGTTTCCGGAATTCGAAGCTGAGGGTGTTGGGTTTGGGCTTTGGCAAGGCATTTCAGTTTATGGTGCTTTGGTCACGGCTTTTGTTCTCGTTATCAGTCCGCTGCTCCTGCCGCTTGGCTCACGTAACCGGATCAGTTCACACGCGCAAGCCACTCGGAAGGTATTCCCGTCCAAGCTTCTTGGATGCTTTCGAAAGACTTGGACGACAAGTCTTTGCGTTCGAGGGGTCAGAAGCTCCATCAACTAAGGCTTCAGCAACAATGGTGAAGGGTGTCCCGCAGAAGAAGGGTGGCAAGGGCACCAGCTTCGCGGCATACTATGACAACTAGGGTCGCCTACCTGTGCAGGAGTGAGCAAGCCGGTTTACTTGACCGAGTCAGAATACACAAGTAACCTGGAGTGTTTTGAAGACGTGCATGTCGTTCATGCTGAGGCAAGAAGGTGACTTTGCACCTTGGCTTCAAGGTAGGTTCGTGGGACAACGGAAGCTTCCTAGCCCGAAGTGCCTGA